GATTGTGTTTATAGGGTCCTGATGATGAAGGGTGCCATGAAGTAATCAGTTTGTCTACTTCTGTCTGTTTCAGTGGGTTAATCACTCCTGGAGGCATCACCTCAGTACCAGCAGGCATGGAGACTCCGGAGCTGATTGAGCTGAGAAAGAAAAAGATTGAGGAAGCCATGGACGGGTGAGTGCCACTAATACCTCGCTCCTTAGCTCTTCTGATGAGACCAGAAGGTTGAGCGGTCTAAGACGAGAAAAGGGAGATTTGTGTCATTTATCATCCTTTAATAGTCCCGCATAGTATTATTAGCAGAAAGTGCATTAATATTGGTGAATATTGTTATGAAGGTATGACCTCCATTTTTCTTTCTGTCTCGATAGCAATGGTAACTTCCACGTCACGCTGTGCTACATTCACTCGCCCCCAGACATGTCACTTCCTCATTTACACACTGCATCAAACAGTGCATGCTTATATCCCACAGTGACATCACATCTTAATTCTTTTAAAGAGATGGTTGTTAAATATAGTCTATATTTATATATCATTTAAATGAAAAGTTACCTTATTCTTTCTCATTAAATCTATTTTTTTCCTTTTATGTATTTAAAAACATCTGCTTTGTATTCAACCCTCAGGAAACGATTTATTTCCTAATAGTCTTAAATTTGACGTATTTACACAGCTTGAACCGTTTCCAAAAAAAAAGGAGCTGCCATCTTTGATTTATGTTATCAAGTTTTTATTTGATAGATTAACAAAATAAAAGCACCTAAATGCAAATTAAAGGAATATTATGCAAGGCCCGCAGCATGATGCTGCCTCCACCATGTCAGGTGATGTTCAAAGCTAGTTTTCAAGCTTCAAAAGTGATTTTCCGACGTATGTGTTGGACCGACACAAAAGAATGCATGTTGTTAGGATAGAAGGCTAATATATTGTTATTAAAGTCTGCTAAGTGGTCTGCTAATACCCAGAGTTAAGACCATATCAAAGTGTTCAATAGAATGCATCAAAGTGTGGAATTGTAACGCTTCGTTTGATTCTTTTTTTGTAGAAATGAGACGCCACAGCTTTTCACGGTTCTACCAGAGAGACGGACAGGGCCTGTAGGAGCAGCCATGATGGCATCGACACACATCTACGAAATGTCGGGGGTGAGAAGGATTTCTGAACAAATTTGAAATGTTGGTCTGAAAATACAACTGTTATTATTCCATTTGTTTGTTTTTTTTTTATACATTTATTTGTTCTGCGGTTTCCAGGTTGGACGCAAGACTGGTGGAGGGCAGGAGTCCCAGGGTGTGGAGGTGGCCCTGGCGCCTGAGGAGTTGGAGCTCGACCCGATGGCCATGACCCAGAAATACGAGGAGCACGTCAGAGAGCAGCAGGCTCAGGTGGAGAAGGAGGACTTCAGCGACATGGTGGCCGAGCACGCGGCCAAACAGAAGGTTCCTAGACTACATTCTAACCCTCATGCTTTTAACCCGGTGGTGGTTTTTGATTAATAACTCTCTGCTCCCGCTTTCTACTGTTGTTTCTAACCAGCAAAAGAAGAGGAAGGCCCAGCCACAGGATACACGGGGCGGTGCCAAGAAATACAAAGAGTTCAAGTTCTAGAGAAACGCCAGCACTAGGTTGAGCTGGCCACAACAGGATGTGAAACGGAGAGGGACAGACTCCGATTTCAGCTTCGGAGGATGTTCATCACAGCTCCAGTTAACTGTTGGATCACTGAGGTGTTTTTGTTCCCTTTTTTTTTTAAGAAAAAAAAAATGCATCAACAATGTAGTCTGGCCACATGTCATGTACTTGCTGTCATGTGCATTTCCTGTTTGACTCTTACTTTTTAGGTCTGGGCTATTTTTCCACAATGATATTCTTCTCTGTTGTTTTGTATTTGTAAATAAATGATGCAATGACAGAAACGTCAAATCTTCATCTCATTCCTTCCATTCCTGGGTGATCTCTTGCAATAGTTTTAGTTTCAGTCTAACTCAATACATTCTCTTTAGAAATGCAAGTTACACAACCTTTAAAGATTTCTGATCAATTTTATTTATTTTTGATAAATGCCAGAAAATGTATATTTAGAAAAATATAATTGTAATGTTAGTCTGTATTAAAAGTGTGAATTTATGTCTATGTTAAGCCATACTGGGTTATTTTTAGCTGGTGCTATTTGGAGCTACTGGTAGGAGGAGTCACTGGAGGTTAAAGGTCAAGGGGTTTTCCAAGGCTACCTCACTGGGTTTTCTCCCTGAAACATGTGGAGAGTTTTTTAGAGAGAGGGAGTGTTGCTGGTGTGTTTACTAGCTATCCTAGTACTTTAAAAAAAAAAAAAAAAATTGTGGCTTAGTTTTCTTTCTAAAAAGCTAATTAAAGAGTGGCTAACTTCAATTAATTTTTTTTATTTTTAATACACGATAATTCTTTGAGGGTTTCAGTGTCGCCTTGGTTTGCGTCGATTTCTTGGAGCAGGAAAAAATTTCCCAATTTGGAGTCTTCCTGTGTGCACTTTGCACTTTTACCCCAGTGCATGTGTGGATTATCTTCCTCCCACTGGCCAAAAATAGGACTGTTTACTAGCTTAAATTTGTAGCCCTTAAATTAGGCCATCTTTATTCTTTTAGGATATTTTTTCCTACTTCGTCTTGTATTTCTTGAACAGGTCCAGCTGATCTGACAGTTATTAAACCTCACGAAATAGAACTATGCTCCCAAAAAATGCTAATAATCTGATTTGGAAACGGTTGAAACCCTTTTTTTCCCCCCATACAAGGACATGTTTGTTCAAATTACTTGATTTCCTTAAATAAAATCATGGTTTTCCTTTATGTTAAAAATCTGTTTGAGAGAACTGTGACATTCAGAAAGGGAAGAAAGTGCAGTCTTTGCTCCTTCAGCCGGATGGCAGCAAAGGACGACGGTATCGGTCACATGCATCAGCCTGAGAAGCATAGTGACCTACATAAGTGGTGCAGCTACATGTTGACTCAGTCACTGGTACACAAGTGTGCACACACAGAGCAACAGCCTTATTCAGACCGAGTGCTTCTTTAACCATCCTGAAATGGGTTACAAGATTGTTTTCCCGCCAGCATGCTAAACCAGAGCAGCTAATGGTTTATAACTGAAACAGGGTGTCATCATTTTATTAGGCCTAGAAAATGTCACTTGAGGATTTAAGATGGTCCAGGGTTTGAAGATGCATTCTTACAATTTGAGATTAACCCTCAAACCTATAATCCTGACAAGAAATCCAGCTGTTCCATCGGTCATCCCTAACATCAGAGATGACTTTCTTACAGCAGACATTTAATTGACTCTCTGTGTACTTTCACTTGATGACTGTGCAGATTTGGAGCGCTGTGTATAACTTGGCCCGGGATAATCCCGTAACCATGCTTTAATCTGCTTGAGTCTAATCTGCTTATCAATGGCAGCCACTTCTGGTAGTGAGAAAAGCGTGTTAAAAAGAGCACCAGGAGGGCTGGCAAAAGTGTTAAACGCATTCAGATCACTGGCTACTATACTGAATTCAAATCAGTAATGGTATTTTATTGATTAACACTCAAAGAAGCAGATTTATCTTCATTAAATTTGGCATTTCATGTGTAATAAGACATTTATAACATGAGTGAGGAAACGGGGGACATATGAGTGTTACTTTACTAATTCAGAACAATACAGTCATTTTTCATCAATTAAAATAATTGGGGTTGCCATAGTGACATATCTGATAAATTGCATAGAATATTATTAGAAATCAGTTTGAATTTCCTTCTTTAATGAAGCTTTTATGTACCTTTAAAGTAAAAAAAAATGTCCCCCTTATATAGTATTGGATTATCCAGTATAACCTCTATTTAACATCTCTGGTTAAAACTTAGACCCTCATTAGGCCCCAGTTATGACTGCATCCCCAGGCTGCCAGAAACACATGAGGCTGATGTAAGCTTTCTGATCACAGCTGTGATAATCTGCTGAGCCGATGGCAGACGGCCACGCGTGACGTATGCGACGTTGTCATTAGGTCACCTTATGATTCATAATCAGACTCAGAGGAGGCAATCAGAGCCGCGCCTTTGTCACCTGAGGGTTCAAAACGCTGCACCTGCTTTTTATTCCCAAATCTGGAAAAGAAACAGAGTGTTTTTCTATTGTTGTTTTATTATTTGGCATTACTTATCCAATAAAGAACTTTTTTTTATCTATTGACAAGCAGGCCTATGGCTGACCTAATGTCACATCTGATAGCAAAAAAGAAAACAAAAACCAGGCCTTCAAATAACCCTGCGCACAAAAATAAACCTTTAACTAACCGGTTTTGCACCTTTCTGAGAGCTTGACTACATCTGCATGACTAATGGAAATCTTCCCAGCAACACTTGAGTCAGTGTGCAATTAGGGCCCAGAAGAAGAATAGTTTCCCCCAATGGTGTTTGGAAAACAAAAATGCCACAATGTTTATTTATTTATTTTTTTTACATGAATAATATATTATGCATAAACAAATGACTGTATACATGTAAGAGGAAACAATACATAGTATCTTAGTACGCAATGATATGAGTAATATGTTGCCAAAAGGCAATAAAATTTTCTGATGCAGAAAATCCTATAGATTTTGAATTATCTATCTATCTATCTATCTATCTATCTATCTATCTATCTATCTATCTATCTATCTATCTATCTATCTATCTATCTATCTATCT